GGGGACGGTGCTCCCTCCCGTGGGGACGGTGCTCCCTCCCGCGGGGACGGTGCTCCCTCCCGTGGGGGACGGTGCTCCCTCCTGCGGGGGGACGGTGCTCCCTCCTGCGGGGGGGACGGTGCTCCCTCCTGCGGGGGGGACGGTGCTCCCTCCCGCGGGGACGGTGCTCCCTCCTGTGGGGGACGGTGCTCCCTCCTGCGGGGGGGACGGTGCTCCCTCCCGTGGGGGGACGGTGCTCCCTCCCGCGGGGACGGTGCTCCCGCCTGCACAGCACCGCCTTGTCTGGGAGGAGCAGAGCGTGTTGTGCAACCTCAGCTCTGTGTGAGAAGTCGGTGTCCGACCGTCGCAGGCCACGTGCATCACCTCCCCAGTGTGGCCGGGCGGAGGAGCAGGATGCTGCGGAGCGGGCCGCAGAGGCCCTGCTGGTCCATCCCCAGCCGCAGACCTGCCTGGGTTGGGCCCCGCGGGCGGAAGGGCCCGGCCCTCGCTGGGGCGGCCCCTCGCTGGCAGGAGGCGGGCTAGAAGGCACCCTCAGTCTGGGCCCCCAAGCCCAGCAGGGGGAGGGGAGGGCGGAGACGGTGCTGCTCGGGTCCAGAGTCTCAGCCTTCCGCCTTCACCGGGTCAGACCACGAGCCATCCGACGCCACTGAAAGAGACGGGAGTTAGAGCGGCACCGACAGGTTGGCTCCGGAAAGTGCTGTCTGTGCTGTCTGGGGGCTGATGGGGTGGAGGGACGTCAGGCCGGGGAGGGGCCTGCAAGCAGAGCCCTGCCCAGGGCCTCCGGAGAAGGGGCTGCCTCGCCAGGACTCCTTCCCTCCTGGGGCCCCAGGTGGGACAGCTCCCCTGTGAAGGTGTCCAGGAACCCGGCCCTCCGGGGACACAGCCTGCACCTGCCAGCCCGGCCCCGGCACCAGGCCAGCCTCCGAAGACCGGCCGGGAGTCACACTCCCCGGGCCCCACCAAGCAGCCTTCTAGAGGGTGAGCTGTCCAGGGCTAAGGGCGTGGTCTCCTGGGTGGTGTGCAAGAAGGCCGAGCCCAGTGCAGCCAGGCCCAGGGAGAGCTCAGGTCTGAGGGCCACACCTGGGCCTGAGGGTCAGGGAGCGCCACAGGACCCAAAGGAATCCACAAACTCCATGAGGCCCCAAGGAGACCCTTCCGAAAAGGGTCTTAGGCTTCCCTCAAAATCCAGATGGGAGCCAGGCGCCGGTGGCCCACGCCTGTCATCCCAGCGACTCAGGAGGCTGAGATCGGAGGATCACGGTTCAAAGCCAGCCTGGGCAGGAAAGTCTGTGAGACTGATCTTCAATGAACCACCAGAAAACCGGAAGTGGCGCTGTGACTCAAGCGGTAGGGCGCCAGCCTTGCGCTGAAGAGCTGAGGGACAGCGCCCAGGCCCAGAGTTCAAGACCCATGACCGGACCCCCCCCCAAACAAAAATTCAGATGGGAAAGTGGAGAGGCAGAAGCAGCCAGCAGTGCCTGAGGGAGGAAACCGTCTGGTGTCCTGCCAAATCCCAGGCAGGGGGCCCTCGAGGGAGGGGGGCCACGGGGGGAGGGGGAGGGGCACAGAGGCAGAAAGGGAGAAGTGTACAAAAGAGAGGCAGAAGCTGCTGGCCGGATGGAGGAGGCCGGCCCCACGCTGGCGGGATGGAGGAGGCCGGCCCCACGCTGGCGGGAT